CTGCCAATAAGTACTAAAAGGAAACATAATTTGAAATATAATTTTTCGTCATTGTTAATTGAATACTAGTAGTGGGCGTCTGCTACGTGTTATGAGCCAACGTAGTTATTAAAGACAATTATGATATTGTTACTTACGTAGATTGCCCACCCCTAAATCAAACAACTGAAGTTAAACATAATAAAATACCACGTACTGATATCATTGTTTTTGTCATAAAACAATGACAAACAAACAATCAATGTAATTAATATAGCGACAACGGATAAGGTCAGCAAAAAAAGGTATATTACGATGGAGATTTCATTAATTTTTGTAAGTACTATAAAAAATTATAATTTACACATTGAAAGACGGCTGTGATGCGTCTAAGCATTTCGCTTTTCCCCGTCATGTAATTAAAATTTACACCGACATATTTGGGTACGTTGTGCGCTTGAAACTCAATCTGACTGAAAGTTACATCATTTCTGGTAATTCATTTATTATTAGGTTGAAGATTAATCGATACATTTTCTGACGGTCGTCATATTAAACATATTTGACGATGCAAAAACGATATATCTATAAATAAAAAATATTCTCGTCTATTTACAGTTTGTAATGTTTATATTAACATAATATTTACATATGCGTAAACATAATCTTCATGGTAATTAAAACATTTAGTACATTAAAAGTATGAAACAGAATGCAATAAATAGCTGAAATGACCTCATTGAACCTCACGATTTTGTTTGAATCCGATGGCCAACTTATTTAATTAGAAAATAAACAGAGCGTTTAGATGGTGTGCAATTATCAAGAATTCGGTAGCTGTTACTTTTTTTTATTTTTTAATTATTATTATAAATCTAGCCATCGACCGAATCTCAGCGCCATGAAGATAAAATACGTTGTTGATGATCTGGACACGTTAATTTTTGTTTGTCGTCTGAGTAACTACCTAAAATTAATTACAATTAGTATTTTTATTAATCATAATTTCGATCCCTTAGTTAATCGACAACACAATGAGATTTTTTTAAATGTTTACCTGGAGAATTAAAACTAAATTACTATCGATAAATGGAAGAGATGAGATAATCGAAATGTTAATATATTATTAAGTGTTCATTGGATGCCTACGAGGAAGAACATTTGTAATCGAATATGTCAATAAATAATTGTAGTTATATGTTAGGCATGCTTTCGAATATGTGAAGTTTTTATTTAACGTTTTAAACTGAAAAACACCTCGATTGCCTTGTTTAATGGGTATTATTATCGAAACAAGCGTTTTTTTCCAGAATGTTTCTAGAGCCTAGAGAAATTTTACATGTATTCGCCATTCCGCTGATAAAAAATAATAACCTGCAGATCACGGATTTAAACAATAGTTAAACACCTTTAATAGGTACAATATTATTTTACGTAACACTACTTACATCGAATTCTAGACGTAGGTAATAAATAAAAGATAGGTTACGTAAAATAAAAAATTGTAATAACACACAGTATATATTTATTTATTTTTTTGGTCCTTGATTTTGCCTGGCGGTTAGGTTAAAGATCTTTGACAACGATCGTATGAAGATATACATGATGAACGCTGCGGTACATCACGTTCCTGAAGATCTCTCCGGGTTCAACTGGAACTGGTATCGTTCAACATTAGCTCTTTAGTTTGCAACTCGAAGAAGTATAGTGTGTAAGCAAAACTATAATTTAATTTCAATTATATTATGATTTTGAACGTTTTTAGAATAAGCAATTGTCTCTTGTTTTAAATAAGTCCGAATAACTACAGAGTGGGTACACTCCATTTAAATAGCGTAGGCATAATAATTGGTATGACTCGATTTACGAACTATGCATGATTGTATACCAAAAAACATGGTCAAAGTATGGATTTTATGGCAACAACTTAATGTAAAAAGTTGCCAGTTATGTTTGTTTAATTTTAACTTGTACTTTGAATTTAAATAAAAGCGTTGTTTTATTATATAACAATTTATTATGTGTGGTAACCTATACTCTGTAGCAATTTATTATTCAGAAGTTTAACGATGAAATTGACAAGTCAAAGCACAAGTTGAGATTTTGTGTCAATAAAACGAGTTTTCGTCACTATGTCGGCTACTATTTTTAGCATTACGTATTTGTTGTTTTTATTTTTGTAAAATTAAACACTTGATTCAGTGTATTTTTTCTTTATTTATTTTGAGTTCTATTATACAACGGGACTTACTTCTATACATATAACAAGCGTAATTTTAACTAAAAGTTCCTTGTCGAACATAAAAAAATATTAAATTCAATTTCGTTTCAAATATTATCATTTAACTGATTACATATGTTTGTTTAATTAAAATAATATAAGTTGTTAGATTTAAGTACAATGGATTGAGGCTAGTGGAGCTACTAAACCGTATAAAATGGTTGAATGCATAGCAAATAAATTAGTATTGAAATGTTGCTGAGCAAATTAAATTATTTAAAGAGCTAAAAAAAAAAACTCCGTACTAAAAATCTGATATTAATGGCTGAGCTCATAATTGCTGAAATCACTGCACGAATTACCTGCTTATGTTACGAATCGTGTCATACATACAGTTATTATACATAAGTGCTAGTTAAGTATATTTATATTTTAACGTGTAAGAAATAACTGTAAACGATTAAGAATCACATTTTTCACAACAATATCAACCGGTTTGGCAGAGAACGTTTTATTATTTATTATTGATAAGTTCTCATCTTTACTCACAAAGTTAATAGATGTATTTTTTTTTTGAATTACATAATCTAAGTTATTTCATTTTACAATAGGAATGCTATTAAGTACACATAGAAATGGTTTTATAAATTTCGGTATACAATAAAAAACTACACCGTGTGGCATGTGTTCCAAAAAGATTTAACATCATACAAATGTAATTGTTCTAGATGTCGGTGGTGCGCCAGATAAGTTATTTTTCCCATTAAAAATATAACAACATTGGCCAATAATATCGTTTAATTGCTCTATTCGACTGCAATTCCGGAGTTTTGTAATAATTAATACCATAATGTAAATAATTTGTAATTATAAATAGACACAGCCCGTGAATGACGTGCAACAGTGATCTGTTTTTTGCATATTTCCCCTCCTCTGTGTTACAACCATACACGTTTATTCGTTCAATAGCAACACTAATATTGTTTAAATTGTAAAATTTTACAATTTGAATTTACAAAATTGTAGAAACGGGTCGAACTGTCATTAGATCGTTGAAGTATTTAATACATTCGTTTATTGTTTTCTAATTCGTGGAATAAGTAACATTTTTGTTTAAAACTCCTATGAATAAAGTCCTATTTACATGCCTATTCTAATTAAATAACACTTGAACAAATTAAAATTGATTAATTATAATAAATTACAAATTTATTACCACTTACAATAACTAATTATTTCATTAATTTATGTGACATACTATTTTATTATTTAAATGCTAATATTACAATGATTTTTCTATAAAATAAAAAATAACTTCTATTGTTTCTCATCACGCAATGCTAATTTATTAGCTAGTACTTGCCATTCATAAAGAAAGTTGACTTGTTTACTTTTTTATTTTATTAATACATGGATTATTTTAGATAGTATATGTCATTTATTCATTTTTTCTTCTGGATAGGAATGCGCCACACCACCAATGAGACCTTTCAAATTTTAATCAAATTTAAACTACTCTTTGAAATAACGTGGACCGCTTATACTAAAATCTCAAGTGAAGATTCAATGAATTAAAGACATCACTCCAAGGCGAATTATAATTAGAGGTTGAAGGAAAAAACTTAAAAAAAAAAGTCATACTATAATTGATAAACAATATCATTATAAAAATAATCAAAAATATTTAATTAAACGTGAGGCAGATTCGGAGCCAAAAAAAAAACAATATAATTCTAAGCTACTTTTGGTCGTTTGTGATTTCCGATCGTAGAAACGAAAATATTTTTAAGTGGGATTTCTTTAATGTCAGTCGCATCCGTTTACACTTCTTCCTCAATTTCAACCAATCGAGGGAATCGAGACGGTGCGAATACCGACCAGTGATAATGAACGTAAAAAATGTGTTAGCTCATTGTCTCGAACTGGGTTAGGACACAGCGTAATATTATCTGCATAACCGGCGCTCTAATGATAACACTATTATTGTCACCGTAAAGATCTCTTCTGTACATCCCGGAAGATAATTAATTTCACGCACACAATTTGTTGATTTTTGTAGAAAAGTTATTTCCAGCGTTAGGTAAGCATAGGCCTAACACTTACCTAATTACGAGTGACAAAAACTCAGGCAATACTCCAGTGGAATGCATCTTGCGTAATGAAACATTATTAAATGCATGACAAATAAATTATCATTAATATACTATGGTGCGAGTTTGAATAGACACAAGTGGACAACTAAAAAAATATTTGCCGGATAATAAATAACTTGGCATAACTGGTTTTGAATATTAATGATTGACGTTCGATCTAAATATACAAGTCTCACGCTAGTGCGCACTTTCGTCGTTGGGTAATTTTCAGTTTTCTAGAAGTTAATTTCGACTGTACGTGTATTTTTATTAATTATTGAAAATTGTATCTGCCCAACACTTGGATTGTGAAAGCGAAAGTTTTTAATGAACCGATTATTAGTAAAATTTAATAATTTATTCTCAATAGGATATTCATTTTTCAATATATGAATATTACAATAATGATTGTTTTAAAAAATAAACACATGTGAATAGTTAGTTCAAGTTCAGCTTTTTTCCATTTTAAAATTCTCACCAAACTACTTAATAAAACCACGGGACGTAAAAAATAAAGCACCGAGAGACAATATTCTGGATATGATAATTAGGTATTTTTTTGAGAAATCTGTGTGTCGGTCGCATGTTAATAGAGTTGTTTCGTTGGACATCGTTTTACAAAAAAAAGGGGGGGGGGATGAACTCCACGACGCTATCGATGCGTTTCAGGCGACCACCGACTACCATGTAGTCTCTTCGTGTACTGCAGTCGGTGAGTATATGCGGTCGGTTCGTTAAGGTCGACCTGTTCACGTGTTGTGTTGTCACTGATATTCGACGAGTTTTTTGTTAATAACTTTAAAAATAATTTTTTTTGTTGCCCGTCAATGTGATTTATAACAAATATTGTTGATTGATCGACCACCACCTTATTTACTTGTGGATATGTGAAAAATATACTATTGTATCGACAAACATTTTGTGATATTCGAATAAATATTGAACATTTTCAACGTAAGTCAATGATATGTTACAACTGCTTTAGTAATTAAAATCATTTCGAATATTTTAGTCTTATTGCGTTAAATTCTTCTTAGAAATTAATATTTGATAGTTTTCATAGTGAATAATGAAACTATATATTTTATAATCGATTGTTAACAACAGCTGTGTTTCAATTTAATCTTGTTATTGTTAACCGATGACCACTAATATAATCTTATATCGTGTATATTATTTACTTACTAATGTTCATTTCAACAGTTCTATTATTAATGGTACGGTTGGGTAAATTGTAAAATTGATTTAAAGTAGACACTTAAGAGATGTATTGTTGGAATTTTATGAAATAAACTCACTAATGTATTATAACTTTTGTTGGGCGATTATTCCAAGAAAACAGAATAACTAAGTGCAAGGTTAACGAGTTTCCATGCGATACACAGTGTGCATTTATGTTTAGCATTATTAACGAATATCCTCGCCAAATGTATTTGCTAAAATAATTGAAAGAAAGAAATTTTGTTTTTAATTACATAAATTTTGAAATTCGAATGAAAATCATTTTTAATTGTACACATTTTCTATAAATATTATAGAAAACTTCATTAAATATTTTCTGAACTTAAAAAATGAACGTATTATTTGTACTGTAATGATTGTACAAGCTGTTCAGAAATAAGGAAACGGGTCAATTGTTACAATGAGAGCAATAGAAACCCTCTTCCTTACTTATTGAACACTTATGCATGTATTGGTAACATCCTAATATAGATAATAACTTTGTCCAGAGAATAAATGTAGATGGTGTTATACGATAGTCTTATTTTAATTTTTAGTCAATTTTATAAGCGCAACTAAAATTAATATTTTGAGGTGCTATATTAACTTTTATTAACTACATTTTGGGAGGTTTAATACTTTGTCTAACGAGCTAAGCTATCATATCCCCTTCTAATTGCGCCCATGGTAAATTTTATTTTACTGAGAATTGGGCTCAAAGTTAAAAAAAAAATTCACTTTTCGTATTTAGTAATAGTTCATATTGAAAATCACATGATCTAACTGGTTAGAGTTTTTTGGACAAAAAACATTTAACATTTTATACTAAAATATTATACGTTTAGTAATATGTTATTCAAATAGATCGAAGTATATAATAATTTTTTGCAAATGTATTTATTTCTTTACTATGATAAACAAATTCAATATGTACTGGGATAATATATTATGTATTTTTTATAGCACTGTTACTTGGAAATATAGCAACAGATGAATAAGATTCAATTGCAATTTGCATTGTAAATATAGAACGTAATTATAGTTTTATCGCCAAACATTCGTTGTATACTTATTTACATGAGAGAATTTGTGTTTTATTTTAACTTATTTTTTTTAAGATGAATTTATAAAATGTCCATTAGTTGAAAACATTTGCATAAGTCTAAAATCTTTTTTTATTAAGATCATCTCTTCAAAATACTGTTATAAATTTTATTTCACTACATTTTTACTACCAAGTATAAATTTAGTGAATAAATTATTTAATTATATAAATATAAAACTTATAATTTTGGATATCATTTAGTGATCGACGACAGCTGTTTTACCATAGCGTTGTGTATTTTGAGTTTTACTCATAATTAAAAAAAAATACACATTTCAATTACTCAAAGTATATACAAATTGAATTCGCTTTCAAAGAAAAAACAAGTAATAAACTGTGTTAGAAATAGTACATCATGTACTAATAAAGCATTCTTCCTATGTGTATCTTTTTCTCAAGAAGTATTATATTTATCGACTTAAAATTGTATAACTAAATAATTTTTGATGATACGCGTCCTTTTTTTCGTAATCAGTCTTATGCAATAATTTTTGTAAAAGTTTCCAGCTAAAATTTTTATAGTGTAGTTAAGTTGAAACTATGATCTCTGTATAAAAACATGATGAAATTACTAAATTATTTTGTTGCAACGTGTAAGATACAATGTAAATGGTGCATTTAAAGTAATAGTATAAAAATGCATTTAATTAAAAATTAATTATCGAACAAATAAAAGCTATACTAGAAAAAAAACAGGTATTGTGTTTTCATTAAGAAATAAAGATGGCTATTATGACGTAGCGGTTGCGAAAATAAAAATTTAATAACGACATTACGGTGGTCTATATGAGCTATTGTTTCGCTGTGAGAAAAATCACCACAAGTAATGACTGTATAATAATGTGTTTTTCTAAAATTAATTGTATACATGTGCGGTAATATGGTGTAATTAAGCGAATTTACTACTATGGTTGCCGCCAATTATTAACTATCTTTAGTCTCGACAGACTACATGATCGCTAGTCGCATAAAATCTACAGGTACTTAAAAAACCCAAGTACGTTCCTCGGCTTGATCGCGTCCTTCGCCGTGCTTGTAATAAACCGCCACAGTAAAGCTTGAGAGAGCGTATTATCAATTTTTAACAGTTTACGACTTGATTTGGATATTCCAGTCGTAGCCGGACTAAGAAGTGTGGAAATTCCTTCACCTTAATTTTCGTAGTCGGATTTGTTTGTATTGGTAAAAAAATCACAGCAAAAGCATTGCGATTAGTTCGGGTCGTGGTAGACGACGTCTCCACCGAACCACGACTTCAAATCGTTCGCATCTAATATTGCAATTTTCATTATTTACATAAAAAGTGTGTTAAGTGTACGCGGTCGATGCGACGAGGCGCACTGCTGAGGATTGCACTTGTGATGTTGTCACCCCAATAACCGCCACAGTGAGACGACCGAGTAGAGAAATATGTTTATTTGGGCACGTGACATACGCCAAGAGGACGTTTCGATTTGTCGGATAACTTATCAGAAGAATCGACGGCATCCAAGTGCGCTCAGAGTTTAGGTAATATGCGTTGCGCAACGACGACACGGTGAAATTGCTCGGCCTCGGCGTTTCATTTTTGTTTTTTTTTCTCTCTTGGAGATGTTTGCGACGTACGTGGTATGGAACCCGACTGTTAAGATTTAAATATTTTAAATGCATGTGCTTTCTTCAGGCATTCCTATTTTTACTAACCGTAATTAAACNTTTCTTCAGGCATTCCTATTTACTAACCGTAATTAAACGCTGTTATTACTGGCATCGACGGTGCTCGTAGATAGAATTGGTTTGTTGAAAATATTTCCAAACGGCAACAATAATTTATTATGATAATATGACTTCGGCAGAACACACGGCGTTAAGTAGCGCTGACCTACTCGAACGAAAAATACACAGAACTAATTACTGTTACTTTTTACAAAACTACACTATGATATATTTGTTCTGAAATAGTATATTACTCATTGCAATACGTTGACCGTAGACGTAGCAGAAATGTGAGTTAACTACGTAAAAAACAATGAGTAACGCGGAAAATTAGAGTTTCATAAAAATGTTGTAATTTTCTTAATTTTCCAAGTGAAAAGTCATAAGATATTAATTAATAAAAAAAATGAAATCATACGCCAAGTAAAAGTGGGTGATAAAATAGCTTAATTGAAATAAAATCAGTAAGCTTCAACAAATTTACTTAACAGTTATAATAATATTTTAATAAGAGTTTATTATTGTTTTTTTAGACTTATTAATTTTATTAGCCAATCTTATTTTTTCCAGTACGTTGTTGTTCCACATAGAAATAAATAAATTGTAACTTTAATGTACTTGATAACTAAGCGTTATAAAAACATTACATTATTATTTAGATTTCTCGTTAGACGCAAATATATTAACTACATATATTGAAAATTCAAGAAATGACTATTGAAATTGTTTTTTTCTACATACTGTTAAAACTTGGATGTTTCAACTCAGATTGGAATTTAAAGTAAATTTTTTTGAATTTTCATTATGTATTTTATAGAATGTTTTACCCATTTTTATGAACCAAGTATAAAAAATACCTATATTTAAAGAAATCCATGTTAAATTCACCTTTTTTTTTTTTTTAATAATATTTTTATATAATAAATTTGCTAGTTAATCGGTAAATTGTTAAATTTTATCCACATAAGAAAAAGGGATGCAACTCATTTTTGTTTTTGGTCATTTGACGAGTTCTAAATTAACAATGATTAATTAATTTTTTTGTTTAACANTTTTTTTTGGTCGTTTAACGAGTTCTAAATTAACAATGATTAATTAATTTTTTTGTTTAACATTAAAGAAAATATCAGTTATATCCTTTTTCATATGAGGTGTTGATATTTAAATATAATTCTGTGATTGATTTCTAAAACTGACAAATCGCAAAGGGAAATTTTGATATTATTGACAATATGTATACAGATAATTGCACCTCAGTATAATTAATTAAAATTGATCAATTTTTAAATTTAAATCTAATCCTATTTTTTTTTTTTAATTATAAAATTGATTTATCTTCATTTCGAAAGTAACTTATAATTTCAGTTCATTAGTAATTTTTTTTGAAGTAACTTATATTATACACATGTTAAAACTGTATCGTTATCAATTGTGAAATAAATAATAATAATGATACCATAAATCTCTAATAAAATATATCAAAGATCAATATATTTATAATCTACGAATAATTTTGTAGAAATTAATTAAATGTTGTTAACTTAATACGAAAATCTATTATTCCTCATTAATGTATTTGTAGTCCTATAATAATTTAGTTTGTTTATTATTCTGATCATTTTAATTATGAATAGCTTATAAAAATTACTTATTTCTCTATTATTTTTATTGTCTAAACATGTTTACAGTCAATTTTTATCACTATTGTATCAAATAAACAAACAATAAGTAATTTAAATAAGTTATTGATAAGTAATGATGAACAATTTCTATCAAATCTTGAAATAAGATTATGGTATCTAAAGGTAAATAGTTGAATTATTTATGCTTAATTGGTCATTACCCCTATTGCAAAAATTTTTTTTTTTAATTTTTATTATAAAAATTAACTTTTGTTAACAATAATACGTGATTTGTGTAGTGTTCACTTAAT